TCCATTCTCATGAATCTCCTGAATGGCTGTTCAGATGTTTACTGAGGAGTTCTTACAATTAGTGAGTTTCTAATTAATGAAAATATATGGATGTGATCTGCCATCGAGTATATTGTAAATAGATTGGTGAATTAAGTGAGAGATATTTATTTTGCAGCCTTTATGGATGGTGCCATGCGATATAATAGGCCTGAATGATCAGCTTATATCGGGTTCGAAACCACAGAAGAAAGCAATTCGTATTCGAGTACATCCTGGCACATTGAATGCCAGTCAAACAAACAGTGATTTGGCGAGAAGTATTGAAACTTCTTCAAAACAGGTGACGATCAACTCGATTTTTTAATCATTCCAGCGAGTGATTGTGTACATTCATCTCAATCGCAGTTTATTTGAGTGCAACTCTGTTCAAGCAAACACATTTTTCCGATGTTTACTTCCATCATGCCAAAGTTGTATAGGATTAATGATCTTCTTTGTAGTGAATAAAACTCGCAGCTTATGGCTACGATCTCGTGATTGGTCAGCCTATTGTGTTCTGAGCTGAACCGGACGGGGTAATTGATCAATTATGATTTTAGTTAATCGAACAATTGTTTGGCGGTGATTGGTCATTCGAAATGCCGAATCATCCCGACGTACGTGTCGAAAAACTGCAGCAGTTGAGGAAGTTGTTCTCGAATGCAAGTGCTCGAATCTCACATTTTAAAGATTGGTAAGTTTGAATGTCACCGTATGGTGTTTATTTGCATTTATTTTTGTATTCATTGTTGAGATGCGAATGATTCTTTAATTTTTTTGTTCATTTTCTTCCATAACAATAAGTTGTTGCTGTTTTTTGATACACAATATGCGCACTGTTCGCAGATAATACGTTTTTTTCTTTTTATCTTCGTTTGAAAAATTGCGTCAGCGTCGTTGAAAAAGAAAGGTTGAATGAAATATAACCGGTTATGACTTTTTAAAGATGACTTTTTTAATTCTCGCATGTTCGNACGTGAACAGTTGAGATGAATAGACGCACATACTTCTTCCGTAACCTACATATACCTGCATCAATCTGCGTGTCCTACTGTTTTGTATAAAATTGCAGGACATTAAGTAGAAATCATTTAGTTTTCACGAAGCGAAAATGTGTCAACCTCCGTTATAATGAGAGGCGATCCTAGTGTTGAACTTGTATAGTGTTGAGAAATTTTGATCATTTTGTTGTGAGATTAATTTCTTTAAAATATTTTGTGGTTTCGTATGCGTGTTTCCATCACTTGATTGATACTATGAAGACGGTTGGTTGACTTATTGATGAAATTCACCGAATCGATCAATTTTCAGCGTTGTGTTGAATTGGTTATTTGATATTGATGATAATAATAATAACAACAGTCATAATATGACAATGTCATCGGCTCTTCTCAAATCGCTTTCGTTGAAAGTTTCCTCGCGTCCTTTCGATGACTCAACAAAACAACCAAAAAATGCGCACATGCAAATTGTTTCGTTGTCGTTCATCAGAGACGGCATCGCAGAGCCTTTAGTGGAACTTTGTTTCACCGATCTCAGAGAACCGAAATGGCTGAAAACCGATCGTAAAGGTTCATTTCGTTTTTCATTAAGTTTATCCGGAAGTAGGGAATGTTAGTTGTGGTCAGTTGAGATATGAGACGATCAAACGATATCACTATTCGTGTGGAGTGTAGATTTTCAGGGATTTGTTTTTTTGTGAAACGTAAACATTGAGAGCATATTAATGGGATCTCATCGATGTGGACAAGAGTTCAGCGTTTTTCAGATCATATAATTGATGTGGATAAACGTGGATTTCGCATCCATCTACGAAAGACTAACACTGAAGAAGGCTCAGTGCCGATTCGTAGGTGTGAGCATGTGCGTGCTGTCAGTTTTCAAAACGACGGTACTACGAAGGAGATGGTTAGTTCGATCAAGTATTTTCTTTCCTTTTTTTAAGACTGTCATAAAAAAGATAAGCTTGATCTCAAACTCTGCTCGCATTGATTTCCATTGATTTCCGATGAGTTGAAATTTGAGAAAGCAAACGAAAAAATATTTTCCAGCTTCTGATCGACTCTCAGAAACGCATCGATGAGCTACGCCAACGTCTCGACGAGTCACTATCACAGTTTCAACGTCATCAAAAGTTGCATTCAAACTCAAATCATCCATCAAAACCACACAACAGTAACATAAAACAACGCCGCATCTTATCAGTTCTATGCCAAAATACCGAACAAACCCTAATTCAAATTTCGGTTCGTTTTCGCTTTCAATGGATCTCATTCCGAACTCATAATGATGAGGGAAGTGAAGTGACAATCATAATTGTTTGTTACTGTTATTTTGTGCACTGTTTTATTCAGGGTACCAAATCACTGAATTATTTGTTTGCTTCACCACTTCAAAGCACTCACAATCGTCAGTCCACATCTCCACTGCACCTAATCGTTGGCAATTCGAATGATCAATCATGTACGGGTGATTCATTGCCGAGGTGAGTAGTAAATAGACGAGTAAACGATCAACTAAAACTAAAAATCAATTTGTTAACCAACTGATCAGTTTGTTTTCCTGCGAACTCTTCATCATTTTAAAGAGTGACTTCTTTTGTCACTAATTTTCTGCATTATTCTCTCGAAAGAATAACGACTTCCTGATTATGTCTCTCGTCCAATTTTCAACTCATCTCTTCTGAATGCTTTTGAAATGATTCTTAAATGTGATGTTTAGTAGTCCGGCGAATAGCGTCGATTCTGGAATCTCATCATTTGGTTCGCTGAGCAATTCACCGAGTGTATCGCCTGGCTCATCGCCTGTCTACACCAGAAATGTTCCCTTCATGCATAGTTACGGTTAGTTTTTTT